CAGGGTGTGAGTGAGATAAAGAAGGCTGGACCCCTGAGAAACCACCCTGCCACAGTCACAGGGGACGAGCATGCCCCACTCCGTGAACATGCAGGTGCACGTGCCCCAGACCCTGCTGGCACCAGAGCAAAGCACAGTCCCCTTCATAGTCAACGCACACAGAATGACATCCAGTTAAGGAAACGCGCTGGGAGGGTTTAATTACAGGGAAGAAAGACTCCTCTGGCTTCATGTGTAAAGACACGCTTAACCCTTTGTCTGCACATGACAGAATGACACGAGCAGAAATGCACCCTCCTCTGTGTTCATCAGATGGAAAATGGGAGTAAGGAAAGCACCTGCCTCCCAGGGTTTTTGTGGACATTAATTGAGCTAATACGCGTGAGCAGTGCCAGGCACTGGCTGCCATGGTTATCGTCACGGAAAGCAATTCCACGGTGCTGGGGGTTGCCAAGGGTGTCAGCCAGTAGGTGACAGGGCCCTGCCAGCAATGTGGGGCTCTGGGGGCTGCATCTAGTCCATGAGATGCTATATTTTTGTCATGCCCTCAGATCCCCTCTAGAAACCTGTTCTTCAAATGTGCTGAGAGTAAATCATTCAGAGGAGACCAGCTACACTGTGTTTGCCCTAAGGACAGACAAGGAAAGAAGAAACAGGCTGGCTCTCCAACAGCAGGGACTTTGTTTCGATAGGAGGAGGAACTGGCCGTCACTACAGATTAACTTTCAAACCTAACTAATTTGGACTAATTGGAGGGAGGTGAGTCTGATTCACTTAAAACTCCGAATTAGACCCTATTTTTAAATGAAAAAAAAATTTTTTTTTTTGCTTTTAAGCACATACAGTGACTCAAACTAGGGTACTTTAGTAAATGAATAAGACTGATAATTAGCATCTTGTCTCTTTGGAGGGAAATGCTAGTGCTCAAGAGAAAATTTTTTCTTTAACGAAAGGGTAAAAGCAAACTTCAGCCCAGCCCTGTCAAATTACTCCCAAATTTTGAATCTGCGGAGGCGCACTTAATCAAGTATAGATGTAGGTGGCTGAGGGTGGTGGGGATGATTTTCTCCAAGCAGGCTTTGAAAAACGGGGCTTTTGAGATGGTCCAGGCATAGAGAACACAGAGCCCAGTGACCTCCCGTTTCCTTCAGGCTCTCTGGTTTATTTGCCTTATGGCTTAGCTTTTTAAACATAAGGAGAATCCTTTAAGCCCTCATGTCCTAGGCTTGTCATTTATTACCACCATGCAGCAACACTGGGGTATGAGGCCAATAAATCATTTGGACAGGAAGTGACTACAGGCCGGATTAATTTCATTATCATCCTTAAGCAGATAGGTGTCTAGCACGGCCAATGTCTGCAGTGAAGACTGATGTTCTGTCTCTCCTGACAGGCTTTCCCCCTTGCCTTGCAGACAGCTGTGGTGGTTCTTCATTCTCCCTGCTAGAGAGACTTGTCCTGCCTCCTCCTATTAATGGCAGTGAGTAGCCCCATCCCCTGCTTCTGCGGCCCACCCCATGCCCCACGGTGGCTGAGGGATGCTGAGAGGCCTGGCGGGAGGCACAGCTGAGCAAGCCAAGAACTCCAGTCAACAGCACCAGAGGAGGGCCTTGGAGGCTGTGTCCCCTCTGAACTCGCCAAGACAAGCCTGCCACCCAGACACAGGGAGAGGTGCTGACCTGCAGGTCTGGAAGCCTGAACTGATGCCATGATAAGCACTTCCACCCAGCAGGGCAGCACCTCTGACTCTGACCTCCTCCTGGCCATTACCTTCCCTCTGGGTCTGTGTTTTTCCAAACACAGCCAAAGATGCCCCTTATTCCTGAGCCCAAGAATACACACTTTTAGAAAACTCCCTGGGGAGTTTTATGAATTCCAAAAGCTAGGAATGACTGCTCTTGGCAAGATGATCCCAGGGTTGGCAAGTCTGAGCTATAGGAGAGTGAGCACAGGGGCAAGTTGCTAGCCTGCGACTTTCTCTGCTAGACTCCCTCTAGCAATGCTGCAGGTGCAGCACCTCCTTAGTCATCACCCAACATAACTACTTCCAAACTGGGTGACCCACTCAGCCAAACAGCCCAAGGATGGGTGTTCTCTGTCCCTGGCCATTGTCTAAGAAGCTCTGCTCAGGAACAATCTCTCTTCTTCCTGGGCGAGGGGAGAACCTGGCAAAGTCCTAGGTCCTTCCTGGTACAGACCTGTCTCCCTGGGACTGTACAGCTGTGAAAAACGGGGGGTGCCTACTCTCCCAGTGTGCTGGGAAGCTGCACCTCCTCCTGTCTTCTCAATCTCTAGGAAAGCACCTGCCTCCAGGCATCTGCAGAGTCATCCCCAACTGACATCCTTGGCCCCACGCACCCTCGTCCTACTATCCCTCCCATCCACGTGACTGTGGTGTCCTCCTCCTGAGCATCCGATTCCATTTGTGTGTGTGTGTGTCTGTCCAGAGCCACTGCATTATTGCTGGACAGCACCAATCCTCACCAGAAATCCACAGCTTCTAATGGGGCTCCCTATTTCCAGGTTTGTACCCCTTCTATCTACATCTCACACACAGCCCCATTTTCTGAAACACTAACCTCCCTGCTTCAGGACCTCCCATGGCTTCCCACTGTTCTTGGGATAAGACTCAGAACTCTTGAAGAGGCTGCTCCCATCTGTGTGATCTGTGTCTTCCCTGCTTGCCTCCCTGCCCCTACATCTTGTAAGAGGCCGCAACACGGACTGGTTCAGCGACGGACCCTACAGCCAACTATCCAGACTTGAATCTGGCCCTGCCACTGACTAGCTGTTACCAGACCTCCCCGAGCCTCACCTTACCCATCCATAAAGTGGGGTTAATAATAGGACTCATAGGACTGCTATAGGATAGAATGAGGTGAAATACTGAAACCGCCATTGCAAAACTATAACAGTGAAAGGCATCTGAAAGGTGAACAGTGAAAGGCATCTGAAAAACACCTTTCAGATGCCTTTCACTGTTATAAGACAGTGAAGAGATTTGACCTAACCAACTCCATCTTGTGTCTAACCTCCAAGCTGCCCTTGCTTATCCCTGGGTGTAGACTGAACTTTGGGAGGAACTTATAGTTTAACACAAAGACGACGACAGCCCTTTTCCAAAACCTTCTTCTTGCCTGGGGATTAGACTGCCTTCATAGGACTAACAAATTAGCCACAAGATGGGGATTATGGTTTAGGAATCATGCAGCTGGAGGCTGTAAGATTCTGACTTTCCCCAGATTGCTCCTGGGGATAAAATCACTATTGTAAAACCTAAGACCAGTGCTTGAGATATTTTGCAGACCCTGTTTTTTTTTTTTTTTTTTTTTTTTTTGAGATGGAGTCTTGTTCTGTCGCATAAGCTGGAGTGCCATGGCACCATCTCAGCTCACTGCAACCTCCGCCTCCCAGGTTCAAGCAATTCTCCTGCCTCAGCCTCCCAAGTACCTGGGATTACAGGCATGCACCACCACGCCTGGCTAATTTTTTGTATTTTTAGAGACAGGGTTTTACCATGTTGGCCAGGCTGATCTCGAACTCCTGACCTCAGGTGATCTGCCCACCTTGGCCTCCCAAAGTGCTGGGATTACAGGCGTGGTCCACCATGCCTGGCCCAGAACCTGCTCTTGATGGCTCAGCTGGTACCACCCAGATCAATAAACTGGCTCATCTGATCTTGTGGCCCTCACCCCAGGAACTGACTCAGTGCAAGAAGACAGCTTTGACTCCCTATGATTTCATCTCTGATCTAACCAGTCAGCACTCCTGGCTCACTGGCTTCCCCCAACCCACCAGGTTGTCCTTAAAAACTGATCCCTGAACGCTCAGGGAGACTGATTTGAGTAATAATAAAACTCCCATCTTCCACACAGCCGAATTACTTTATCTCAATTCCTGTCTTGATAAATCAGCTCTGTCTAGGCAATGGGCAAGATGAACCCATTGGGCAGTTACATTACAGGGACATGCTGGAAACAGTACCTAGTGTGGTGTAAGTACTTCATAAGCACTGGCTATAATCAGCTGTCACTGCCCTCCTTCCCCCTCGCCATTGCCCCTCTCAAGTTTTGGCTGGTCTAACACGCATGCTCTCCCTTCCTTACTGGATGTGCCTGTACCCTAGCTCAGTCTGGCTAAATTCTCCTCATTGTTTAGGTCTCAGCTCAGTCATAACCTCCTCCAGGAACCCTCTTGGATTCTCCAAGCCACATAGCACTGTTACACACAAGGTGTTGCCTCTTTATTTGTCTCTCCCTCCTTTTCTGCACCCCTTCCCCAGGGCTGCAGGCTCTGTGAGGGCAGGAACCTGGTCTTTGCTTCTCTCCCATGCAGCCCCAGCTGTTTTCACAGAGTGGATATTCAACAAAGATTCAGATAATACTGCTAAACAAGTGAACCCCAGTATCCCAGTGTGTTCAGGAACCTTCCCTGCCTCCTTTCTCATTATGTGCAGGTTTCTCTGGTACTCAGATCTCTGAGAAGTCACGTGCACCCCTCACCGCCCTCGGCACTCACCCAGTATGTGGGTTAAGAGGCCAAAGGAAGTATCGCTCAATATTGCAAACAAACAGGAAATTTAGAACTTCTTCAGGAAGAAAGGACCTACACAAAAGGTTACAAGGCCTACTGTGAATGTTGTGGAGGGAGGCGAGGCTTGGGACTTCCAGGGCTTTGTTTAGCATCAGCACACTTGGCACCCAAGTGTGCTAAAGGATAACTCTTCTCTGGCTTTCCTAGGCAGGTGCTGAACCTCCGGGTGGAGAGAGTTCAGGAGATAGGAAAATCATAGCCTTCTGAGAAGGGAACACCAAGTACACTGTGAGAGCCCTTCATGGGCTTGTCTGCACAAGCAACGAAAGAAAACTTCAACCCCAGACATAACTGATCTGCAAGTTATTCCAGGAAATGGGTGGGAGTCCTGGATGTTTTAAAAGAATGTTCATGAGACTAGGATTGGGGATGAGGAAGGAGACACGGGGGTCAAGTCTTGCTGTTACCTCATAGTGGCCAATGGTGTTTAGCTTGGTGATTCCATCTTCAAGAATCACAGAGGAACTGTCGATGTCCAGAAGTTCTTTCTGTCGTGTGCCCACTTGAAGCTCTGAAAAAGAGCATTTTGTTCCCTTTTAGAGTTTTAAAATGCTACCACTTTCACAAATTTACAGATAACTAAAACTTGAATAAAGTGGTAAATCTTTGTTTGAAGGTGTAGAAATGTTATCAGCCAGACTAGTAGCCTGAGTTCTGAGTTCTGTTGTTTTTTTGTTTGTTTGTTTAGGGCTCTGATGTTTCAAACCACTTTTTCCCTGATAAGCCTGGAAGTAAAGCCACTGAAGACAAAATAATGCATTCTATGAGGGACTAAGCTCTTCAACAAAAATTCCAGAAGCAAATCTGTATATGCTCACACTTGTGTGCCCACATTCACAAAGAGAGGCATGATATGAACCATCTCTGCAGGCTCCTGTTTGGGGTGGAGGGGGAGGCATCAGTGTGCGAACGTCCCAGCACCACAGGGTGCAGACTGTCTGTCTGGCCAAGGCTGCCAACCTGTGCCTAGGTCAGAATGTGGTGCACAAATGTGATTTTTCTTTTTTTGGAACCTGCATGATGTTTAATTATTATTTTAGTGTCGACTCAGTGCCAACATTTACAGATGAAAAGATTGCACATAGGCTGGATGTAGCAGCTCAGGCCTGTAATCCCAATACTTTGGGAGGCTGAGGCAGGGGGATTACTTGAGGCTAGGAGTTCAAGACCAGCCTAGGCAACATAGTGAGACCCTGTCTAAAATTTTTTTAAAAGTTTTTAAGTTGCATATAAAAAACTGGATATCTGATTTCTTTAAAAAAAAAAAAAATCTAACAGTCTAACAACACAATCTGCGGTCCACATGGCAATCACTGAAGCAAATGGCACTGTCCCCTTGGATAGCGAGTCCTTTCCCATTAAGTCAAGCTCCACTGCTTTCTATCGTCCCAGGTGGCTGACACCCCTTATGTATTTTCTGCCCCTTTGGGCATCTGCGTTTTTGAGCCTCTGCTGTAAGAGCTCCAAGCATAGCTGCTTCTGGTGTTGGATTTCTTTTTTTGTTGTTGGAGACAGGGTCTCCCTCCATTGCCTAGGCTGGAGTACAGTGGCGCAACCTGGGCTCACTGCAACCTCTGCCTCCCGGGTTCAAGCAATTCTTCTGCCTCAGCCTCCCAAGTAGCTGGGACTACAGGTGTGCACCACCATGCCTGGCTAATTTTTGTATTTGTAGTAGAGACGGGGTTTCACCATGTTGGCCAGACTGGTCTTGAACTCCTGACTTCAGGTGATCCGCCTGCCTTGGCCTCTCAAAGTGCTGGGATTATAGGCGTGAGCCACTGCATCCAGCCTGGTGTTGGATTTCAATACAGTTGATGGCTTTGCCTCAGAAACCAGCCCTGGAGGTAGTCTGGGAAATCAGCAGGCATGCAGAAGCCTGACACGGCTGACAGGCTGTGTCCCCAGGCTCCCTGTTTGTTCTGCTCCTTGCCTTCCTACTTTAGGAGGCAAGGGACACCCAAACTCAGGAAAAGAGTAAGGATGCTACTACCTGCTCATCAGCGGCAGGACCAAGACTGTTGGGCGGGGTATGCCCATGTCTTTTGTAGTGAGAGCCACACATTTGCAAGATGTATGCTCAGGGCAAGGAAGTTGGGGGTCTGGGGTCAGGGTCATGGTTTCCTGGCTGGGGCTCCCCCTTTGATCCTGTATCTAACCAAATGAGCTAAAATGGTCCTCAAGCGGCTCAACAGTCACCCAAGGAAGGAAGCAGAAGAGCGGTGCCTTAGCAGCCCTACTTTCTTTAAAGCCAGATCACCACCAAGTTGCCCCACATTTGCATGGTCTCAAACTTCCAAGACCCTGCCTCAAAGCTTTCTCAATGGCCTTTTAGCAGGGGGCTGGACTGGGAGGGCCGAGTGGGAGGATTTTAATTGTCTGCTTCGTCAAGGCCTATAACTGTACATCAAGGGGAGGTGAACCTTGTTACACTGTCTGTCACCACCATGATTTTATTCTTCGTTTCTGTCCCATTATTTGCTATAAAATCCCACGACAGTCTCCTGGGAGGACTGCACGGAGCTCAACTTTAAAATGTTGATGAACATTTGAGTGAAGTGGGGCCCTGTTAGCTTGCTCACGCATATGCTCTCCTTTGCAGTATACCAATAGAGCCCGAAATGAATTCATAGCAGATGCGGCTGCACACTGGGGGAGGACGGAGCATATACTTAATACAGGATGTGATTAGCAGAGGAAGATGACCTTTCTAGCAGGCTGGAGTTAACACCCAGAGTCTGAGGCACCCACTAATGACACGCTCAGTATCACAACAAACAAATCAAGTGCCAATGTGAAATGCAACACACGCAGAGGGCCCCGTGTTGACACCTTTCTGTGCTTCGTGATGCAAGGTGACTCCGTGCGGGCTCAGGGTCTGCAATCTCATGAATCTGATTTACAGACGTAATATTTAACAACAACAACAACAAAAAACCCCGCCATCTTTTAAGAACTGTGCTTCCTTCGAAGAATCAGGATGCCCATGAGAGAGCAAAGCAGTCTCTTGGCCCCTAGACATGCCCTCCAGGAACAATCTGGCTGTGTAAGTGTCACTGAACGGAAGCTGGTGGGGGTAGGGAGGGAGGGCAGGCAGGGAGGGAGACTCATCAGGGCCTGGGACCACATAGCTCCCGCACTGCCTTACCAAGACCAATTTCATTAAGCTGAAGTCCATAAGGAGAACCATTTTTGCTTAAGAATGCTTGGAAAATCTTTTCTTTGGCTTGGCCTATGGTGTCACAGTCGAGAACACTGACTGAAATATTCCGACAGACATCTGCACTCTCGTTTTCCGGGATTTTTTCAAAGACGACGTTTAACGCCTGCAAGAATACAAACAGATTTCCAAGTCTATTAGATAATTGCAATCTGAAAGGCATTTCATAAAAGACACAAACCTTGGCAAGTCCCACTAATACCTCTGATGGCACATTAGCAAACACTGTATTGCATTATACTACTTTCATCTTTTCTCCATAATCCATTCTTTTCAGGGATAATGGAAAGGAAAACAGAAAGTTAAAACTCTCATTATAGAGCAAGCATTGAATAAATATATCTGAGAGTAAAATATATATATATATACACACACACATACACACAAATAGTCTAAAAATGGTAATTTGGTGATTTCTAATTTCATCCTCAAAAGAAAAAGAAAAAAAGAATTGGAAGGGTTCCACAGTAGATGAGGCAGATTGGTGATTATCTTTTTTATTAACAGGACCACAGAGTCCCAGAAGTGAAGTTCTAGGTGACAGGAAAGGTTATGAGGTCCCCATATTGACCACATCAAAGAGATCACTTTTTTTTTTTTTTTTTTGAGATGGAGTCTTGCTCTGTCACCCAGGCTGGAGTGCAATAGTGCCATCTCGGCTCACTGCAACCTCCGCCTCCTGGGTTCAAGCAATTCTCCGGCCTCAGCCTCCCAAGTAGCTGGGATTACAGGCACATGCCACCATGCCTGGCTAATTTTTGTATTTTTTCAGTAGAGACAGGGTTTCACCATGTTGGCCAGGCTGGTCTCAAACTCCTGACTTTGTGATCTGGCCACCTCAGCCTCCCAAAGTGCTGGGATTACAGGTGTGAGCCACTGTGCCCGGCCCAAAGAGGTCACTTTTTAAATATGCAGCATTAATTACAGGAATACTCATCTACTCCTCCACTCCCAACATCCTCAATCAGATGGTTTCCCCAGCCCTCATTAAAGCACTGAGATCCCCACCCCATACTATGATTCTTGCATTAATTACTTTACATTTCAGCACCATTACTTAACGTTTTGTCAGTTAACATTCTCCCACTGCAGCAAAACTTCAGAATCAGACTAATGGGGGAAGTAAGGCCTTTGTGCACGTGTGAAAACACAGAACTAGGGAATATTTCAAAATGAACTGAAAAGCAATTCCAAGTTTACTTCGTCTAAGAACAAATAGATCTAAAACAACCAAGTTTTACCTGATACGTACCCTCACAGGAGTTGATTCAGGGAAGAGCTAAGAATATTTTGCAAATAGCATAACATAGCAGTTTAGATTCTAATGCACCTTGGTAATCACAAAGTCAGAAAGGCTTCGGTATGGTATGAAATGCACAACTATTTAATGTTTTGAGCCTGGCTTAATAAGGGAATGTAAAATGATCAAGTAATGGGAATTTTTGTTTGTTTGTTTTGTTTTAAGGAGCAGAGAGTTTAATAGGCAAGAAGGGAGGGAGAATACAGAAGAAAGATGCTTCCTCATACAGAGACAGAGGGAGGGGGGCTCCAAGTCCTGTGGACACCAGCCAGGTATATATGCAGAGGCTGCAGGAGGCAATGTCTGATTTGCATAGGGCTCAGGGGTGAGATGAAAACACAAATAATATGGAAGATGGGAACCCTCAGGCCTACCTCAACTTAAAAATGGGTATAATAACAGTACCAGCCTTCTAGCATTGTTATGGAGATTAAATGTGATCATGCATTCAAGGGCTTAGCACAGGGCCAGGCTGCTGGGAAAGGCTTGATAATATCAGTAATAAAACCTGTTACACTTATTATTGTTGGTATTAGTATGCACTCATTTGCACACAGATTCAGCCCACATTGAACAGCTAGGACGCCCACTCCACGCTCAGTATCTCTAGGAAGGAGGCTACCAGCAATGAACCCAGTGGACTCCTGGCTTTCATCCCAGCCCACCGCAAGCCAGCTGGGTGACCTCTGAGCCCATCCCTAACCAGCTGGGTAACCTCTCTGTATCTTGCTTTCTCATCTGCAAAGAGGGCATAACAGCAGTAACTGCATAGCTCTTAGAACAGCGTCTGGCATGTGAGCCCGTGACTTACGGACCACTGACGTGGATGTGGGGCTTCTGAAATTTCGGGAGGTTCTCAGGGCTGTATCTTCTCTTTAATGCTGCTATGGTCTGAATATTGATGTCCCCCTAAATCCAGGTATTGAAATCCTAACTCCCAAGGTGATGGTACTTGGAGGTGGGGCCTTTGGAGGGGATTAGATCATGAGGGCAGAGTCCTCATAAATGGGATTAGTGCCCTTATTAAAGAGGCCCCAGAGAGCTGCCCTGCCCTTTCCGCCATGTGAGGACCCAGCAGGAAGGGACCATCATGAGAAAGGGGCTCTCACAGGACACCAGCTCTTGATCTTGGACTTCTCACCCTCCAGAACTGTGAGAAATAAGTTTCTATTATTTATAAGCCACCCAGTTTATGGTGTTTATAAAGAGCTGAGACAAATACCACTAAATCTTGCCCTTATAATCCTGTTGATAATTATGCAAGAGTAAATTTTGTTCTGGTCTCAACCAAATGATTAAAACTCCAAAGCGGTGGAATCTGAACTCTGAGGTTAGCTGCTGATCTCTGTCTGGCCTGTACGAGTTTCCCTCCTACAACAGAGTCACTCCCTTGCCTGCTCTCAGAGAACCTTTGTGTTCTGGCCAGCCACCCACTAGGAGGGGATTCAAAGGCCTGTCTGCTCACAAACAACAAACAAAAAATACCAGACAGGAGAGAAGGCAGGGAGCTGGTGGGCAGAGTATCTGGAAGGAACCAACATGTGAAGCCTCACACCCAAGCCCTCTCCTCGCCTCCCGTTTCTAGAGATGTTTCCTGGGGCCTCTGGGACCAGATGCTTTGCAAACACATTTCAAGACATTTTTCTGAACCCTCCCAACATTCTGGTGCAGGAGGTTGTATTATTATTGCCATCCCTGTTGTAGAGTGAGGGAACTGAGGCACGGAGGGGCTGAGTAACTTGCTCCAGGAACAGCTCACCAGTGGCAGAGCCAGGAATTGAAGCCAGATTTGCGTAACTGCAGAACTGGTGCCACAAACCCCTCGGCTATGCCGTCCCTGCTTTACTACCCATCCTCCCTCCCGCCGCCTGGTTCCACCTATAGCCCGGGAGCCCTCCTGACCCTCCAGAAACGCTGGCTTAGCCCAGGCTGCAAGCAATGTCCTAAGCTAAGTTCCCCACACCAGTGGGAGGGGTGGGTGTGAAGGGGTCAATGCCGGTCCCACCACCTATGGTCTTATTGGGGTCTTGCCTTATTTCTCTACAAGGTGATCTTCTCATGGTGGGGGTAACTGCAGTTAAGCTACTTCACAGGTGTTTCTAAAGAGAAAGATGAATGGGAGGCACCTTTTAATCAGAGCTTCAGCAATCCCAGCTTGTTTACTAGTTTTATAAATATTTGTGAAACAGCATTCTATTACTACCTAAAGGGCACTATCGTCTTCAACAAAAACACCTTTTTATGGCAATAAATGTTCTTTTTAAAAACATCACCAAAAGGAAAAAAAAAAAACCCTTACTGGATGTAAAATAATGTAAATCTGCCACTGCCTCCACAGCTAGATGGGTGGAAAAGAGGTAAAATGGCATTTTACAGAGTCCACAGGGAATTCTGAGAGTAAATTCAGACACAAATTGATTTGTGTTCATTTTTTATGCTGCTAACACTTAGTGCTCAAACAGCAGTTTCTTAAGGCGCAAGTCCAGTCAAGGCCCTTGGCGTCGGCCTCTTAACACCTCCACCCCCAGGCTGGGAAAGCACACATGGGCCTCTGCTGTGCCATGTCAGACAGCGTGACATCACAGCGTCTGCCCTCAGCCACTGTACCCCATCAGGGGAGATACCTCGATGGAAGTGCCATCTCTCCAGCTCCCACACTCCCACCAAAGCCCATTTAACCAGCATGTTCTCCTGCCCTATTTGGTATTAGGGCTGGGATGTCAGAGAGATGTTATGACGTGGTCCTTGTTCTCAGCTAATTCACAATAAATTTCAGAGACAAAAGCATCACCTGTGGGACAACAGTCACCCATCAGTGGCTATCACCCTCAGTGAGTGTCCACAGACGATTCTGAGTAGGGAGGACAGCAGGGGTCAGGGCCCTGAGTTCCAGGCCCAGCACCAGGCCACCTGGACCCTCCCATTCTCTGCTGCTCACCAGCTGAGGGAATGTAGGGAAGTCATCTAACTTCTCTGAGCCTTAAAATCCTCATTGTTCCTATCTCAAAGGAGTGACAGGATCACTAAATAATGACATATAATAATAGCAAATTAAGGAGTGCTTTATAGGTGCCAGACACTGTTTTAAATGACGTGTATATATTTGTATATATAAATCTCAGGAACAACTCTGTGAGGTAGATTCTTTTACTCGTCCCCTTGTGGCAGATGAGAAACTGAGGCACAGAGAGGTTAAATGGCACAAGGTCACCCAGCAAGAAAATGGTAGAACCGGGTACTCTAGCTCCGTGTTCTTAAATACTTGGTGATCCTGCCTTTCGAAGTACAAGAATGTTTTGTAAAGTAAGCGTGGTCCAAATCCATGGGATGGCATAATACCCAGAAAATACCCATGAAAGCCTAAAGAGCTGTGAAATGTACACTGGTCCCTTCCCCCAGAAATCTGCCCTCTGTTTAGAGGAACCGCCCTGCCTCTTCCTATTTCCTTGGCAGGAAAGCAGTAAGCTGCGGCGGCAGATCTGGTTTGTTGTCCAACCAACAGCCATCCCTCTGCTAACAAAGGCCAGGTCTGCACAGTGGTGGGTCCAGCCTGGGTTGGGAGGCATGATCGGCAGCAACTGCCTTCTCTTTCACCAGGGCTGGTCATGTAACCCAGCTCTGGCCAACACATAAAAGCAAGGGTTTTCTCTCTTTTTTAATAGACAGGGTCTCACTCTGTTGCCCAGGCTGAAGTGCAGTGGTGTGATCATGGCTTACTGCAGCCTCAACCTCCCAGGCTCAAGCAATCCTCCCACCTCAGCCTTCCACGTAGCAGAGACTGCTTGACTACTTTTTAATTTTTTTTT